TTGGCTGTGGGTTTGTTGTAGATGGCCTCTATCAGCTTAAGAAATGTTCCCTCTATACCAATTTTCTTAAGTGTTCTGATCATGAAGGGATGCTGGATATTATCAAATGAGGAGGGATATTTTCACATAAAAGAAGCATCCTGGGTGATAGTCAGGAATCTGAAAAGAGCCCGACAAATCCAAAGGTCTGGAAGATGTAGATCATATCTCACTGAGAACAGGGCTGGAGGGCAAGAGTCTGCAGATGGGCCAGACTGAGATCAAGGCCCTGCAAGGGGCAGGGCCCTGGAAACTCAAAAGGAAAGGGAACTATTGGACTCAGGAAATGGCCAACAATGTCCCTCTGCTTCCAGGGACAGGGTCTTCTTTCTCCACATCTTCACTAATATCTGGTATTTTGAACTTAATGTAATACATATGAGCAGTATAAAAAAAATGAAATGGCCCAAAATTGGCAGCAACCCAGACACCCATTGACAGGTGAGAAATAAACAAACTGTGGCCTATAGATACAGTGGAGTGTGATTCATCCTTCACAAGGAAGAAAATGCTGATGCATGCTAGAGCAGGGATGAGCCTTGAGGACACTGCACTGAATTAAGTGAGCCACTCACAAAAATGCTCACTCTCATTGGTTCTACTTACACAAGGTGGCTAGAGAAGTGGAGTTCACAGAGGGAAAGTACAAAGGTGGTTGCCAGGGGCTGAGATGGGGAGGGGAGTGGAATGAGGAATTGTTGTTTGTTAAGTACAGAGTTCCAATTTTGAAAGATTAAAAAGTAATGGAGATGGGTGGTACCTGTGGCTCGAGGAGTAGGGTACCAACCCCATATGCCAGAGGTAGGGGTTTCAAACCCAACCTGTATGCTTAAAAATGGCACATTTTATGTTATGTCTATCTTACCAGAATTTTTTAAGTCAGATTGAAATGAGTGACATTCGTATTTCCTTCTTTATCCAGGAACAAACTGGTTGATTGAGATTCTCTGTCTGATTCACTCTAAGGGGGATACCAAGTGGGTCCAGTCTGTGCGCATCTGGGAACGCTCACCCTGGATAGAGTCTGAGCCTGGGTTTGCATCAGCAAATAAGAAGGAGGGCCCGCGCTTGCTCACTTCCCACCTCCCCATCCATCTTTTCCCCAAGTCTTTCTTCAATTCCAAGGCCAAGGTCAGTGCACAATACTCCTGCCATGTATGACCAATGCATTTAAAATGTTAATGTACCTGCAACCACCTGGAGACCTTGTTTTTGTTGTTTTTGTTTTTGTGTTTTTGAGATAGAGTCTTACTATGTCACCCTCAGTAGAGTGCCTTGGCATCACAGCTCACAGCAACCTCAAACTCTTGGGCTTAAGCGATTCTCTTGTCTCAGCCTCGCAAGTAGCTGGGACTACAGTTGTCTGCCACAAAGCCCGGGTGTCTTTGTTATTGTTGTTTAGCTGGCCCAGGCCAGGTTTGAACCCACCATCCTTGGTGAATGTGGCTACACATACCACTGTATACAGGCACTGCCACTGTGCTACAGGTGCCGTGCCAAGGAAATTGGTTAAAATGCATTGTATTTTGGTAGGTCTGGCTGGGACCTGAGATTCTGCCTTAGGGGATGCCAGTGTGGCTGTTCCAGGGACTCTAGTTGATTGTAAGGGTAGGCATACTATGGAAGCCAGATACAACTCAGGCATTAAGTGACATGATAATGCCAGAATCTTAGAAAACCATACTTTAGGCAGGGTGTGATGGTTCATGCCTATATTCCTAGCACTTTGGGAGGTCAAGGCAGGTGGATTGCTTGAGCTCAGGAGGGTGAAAGCAGCCTGAGCAAGAGTGAGACCCCACCTCTACCAAAAATAGAAAAACTGTCTGGGCATTGTGTGTGTGTGTGGGTGCCTATAGTCCCAACTACTGCAAGGCTGAGGCAAAAAGATTGCCTTGGGTGGTGCCCATGGCTCAAAAGAGTAAGGCACTGGCCCCATATGCCAGAGGCGGCAGGTTCAAACACATCCAGACCAAAGAAAAAAAGGATTGCCTAATCCCAGGAAATTGAGGTTGCTGTGAGCAATGATAATGGCATGGCACGCAACTCCAGGGTGATAGAGTGAGACTCTGTCTCTAAATAAATAAACGAGTAAATAAATAAATAAATCAATAAAGGAAAAGCATATTTTAGGCCCAGATAGAATTTATAACTGCAACATATACTAGATAAGACCTTTGTATTATTCTAAAAAATAGTGAGTCAAACATAATTCAGTAATTGCTTCTTGCCACTGAGAAAAAGCAGAAATGTTCATGTGGGAACCAGCAAGTTTCTAAGTCAGTGCTGAAATCCAGCTGTGGTAGTTCTCCTGACCACTGTGTTCTACTGTGCGTAGCTGTCTTTGGAGATGAGGAGCCACAGGTAACGATTTTCCGTGTGGAAAAACTGAGGCCCAGAGTGAGCAGAGGACTAATGTCACAAAGTGAGTGGGTGCAGAATCCAAAGGACAATTTAGATGCTCAAATGCTAAGTAATCTTCCTTCTGTGTATGAGTAGGGCTGTGTATGTGTCTGTGTATGTGTGTAGCAATCTGAAGTATGACCTGAAGGAATATGACATATATTCACACTGAGTAACCCTCATCTAGGTCCAAACTGATACCATTTCCACTCCTTCATGCCCCTTCCTGTCAGTGCCCACACACAGAGATAAAACCCCCACTGACTTAACCCATAAATTAATTTTGCTTGTTCTTGAACTTAATATACGTGGAAATTGAGTCATGCTGTATGAACTATTGGGTGCCTGGACTATTTCAATGACTCTGATGTCTGTGAGATTCATCCGTGGTTTTAGGTGTACATGTGGATATCTATTTCTACATTTCTATGAACTCACCATAAGGTATTAATCCATTCTCCTGGTAGTGATCGTCAAACTACAGTACACAAATACAGAGGGTGTAAAAACCTGTATGCATATATTAGCAAAGGAAAAAACTCTTAATAGAGTTTGTGTAATACTTAATAGAGTTTGTGTAATACTTAAGTCATGTTTAACGTCTACAATTATAAGAGGTGCTATATAAGACTTGTATTCATCTTCTGTTATCAGTGAAAATTGAGCATTACAATTTCAATACAATTTACTCCTTTCTCCAAATGTACATACACTTTATGGCACCCTCTGTACACCATGAAATGACATCCAGGTTTAAAAACCCTCCAGTTGCTTCCCGTTGTGAGGATGCCAATATACCCCCGAGGGGAGAGACAATGCTTTCCTCTTCCATTGTCATATTCCTGAAACAGTAAGTACTTCATAGGGAATTTGAATTTTGTATTTCATTAATGAATTCCTCAAGTAATTTATTTGTACAAATCCAATGATCTTTATTAGACATTGTGTAAGAATTACATTTTTCTCCAGTTTTATGAAGATCAAAGGAATAGAAAACAAATTTTTCTGTTTCCTGTTTTTTTTCCCTTAAGGTGATTTATGTCATGAGAAATCCCAAGGATATTATTGTGTCCAGTTATTTTTTCTGGAATTCAATAAATGGGTTTAAGAAACCAAAGTCAGTGGAACAATGTCTTGAATGGTTCCTGGAAGGAAAAGGTGAGTGTGCTGCAAAGTAAGGACGCTAGGGGGCGCGCGGAGCCCGTTCTCCGAACTCAACGGGTACCCGCTTTTCCACATCTCACCAGCCCACATCTGCAAGGCTCTGTCACCGCTAGAACCCAAATCTGCAAAGTCCACCTACCATCCTAAGTGGGAGCAGAACTCTAGCCAGCCCCTCAGCTGGTCCCTGATAAACCGTCAACGCTATTTGCTGAGTCTAACGTCTTCAGTACTAACGCAGACAACCATATTCTTCTCCAATCTCCTAATATGTGGTTTTCTGAAAGTCAACTTTTTTTTTCTTTTTTAGACAGAGTCTCACTATGTGGCCCTTGGTAGAGTGCCGTGGCATTACAGCTCACAGCAACCTCCACCTCTTAGGTTTAAGCGATTCTCTTGCCTCAGGCTCCCAAGTAGCTGGGACTACTGGTGCCCACCACAACGCCCAGCTAGTTTTTTGTTGTCATTGTCATTGTTGTTTAGCAGGTCTGGGCTGGGTCCGAAATTGCCAGCCCCAGTGTATGTGGCTGGCACCCTTAGTACTAAGGTACTGGCACTAATTGTGAAAGTCAACTTTTCATTGCACGACTCTGCAATTTCTCAATTTTTAGTTATGCAGAATCCCTGGGCTTTCTCAAGCACTTGCAATTTGGCAATTTTCCCCAAAACTGCCTGCTGAGTCCCCTGTCTCAACTGTGATCTGCCTCCAGACCTCTAGCAGCCTGGAGAGAGCCCCATACATGCCAGGAATTCAACCTGTGCAAGATTGAGGGCATCTCTCCTCCCTTCCCAAACTGCTTCTACTGCACATTAATCTCACCCAGTAAGTAGATCCACCCTCTCCTCACCCGAGTGCTGGCATGATTCTAACATTTCATATTCATCTTCCTTTTCCCACCCCACTCACCCCTGCCCCGTACCACTTTCCTTTACCTAATTAGTAATCAAGTCCCATCACCTTGATTAATACTTTCATTCTGGTTTCTCATAAGATGCTCCTGTATTCAGGAAATCCTACAATTGCTAGGATTTCTACATAAAATATTTAGCCACCTTCCTCATAACTTAAGCCTAAACTTTTCTTTTCCTTACTAATACTCATCACGGACAGGTATGTGCTTATTTATTTGTTTATTCTGTGTGTCTCCACACTGAAATGTATACTCAAGATGTTCACTGTTCAGCACCATGCCCTAGAATGATTCTCATTACATATTAAGCATTCAACACACCTTTGTCAGATAACTAATAAACATTTATTGCTGCTTCTTTTTTTTATTGCTTGAGGTTAATTTATGGGTCCAAAGAATTAGGTTACAAGTTTGCATTTTTTAGGTGAACTCCCCCTTATTATTGTGTTCTGCCCCCAAGAGGTGTGCCAACCACCCTAAAATTGTGCCCATTAAGTGGGAGCACACCCATGCCCTCTCTTTCTCCTGCTCCCCCACTGAACTGATTTGAGTTTTTCTCTTATGTGAACATGCTAGATCATCTGCTGGCTTCATATTATGATTGAATACACTGAATTCTTGCTCCTCCATTCTGGGGAAAATTGAGCAAGAAGAATGTGTTCCACCTCCATCCAGGTAAACATATAAGATGTAAAGTCTCCATCTTTTTATGGCTGAATTGTATACCATGGTATACATATACCACAGCTTGTTAACCCATTCCTGGGTTGGTGGGCATTTAGCTTGTTTCTACAGTTTGGCAATTATAATTGAGCTGTGGAAAAACAATCTAGTGCAAATGTCCTTATGATAAAATGAATTTTTTCTTCTGAGTAGATGCCTAGCAGTGGGTCTAATTTGAGTTCTTTCAGGATACTCCATCCTTATTTCCAAAAAGCTGGTATTAGTTTGCAGTTCTACCAACAGTGTAAATGTGTTTCCCTCTCTCCACATCCATGCCAACATCTGCAGGTTTGAGAGTTTGTGATGTGGGCTATTCCCTCTGGGGTTAGGTGATATCTCAGGGTGGTTGTGATTTGTAGTTCTGTGATGATCAGAGACGATGAGCATTTTTTCAAATGTTTGTTAGCCATTCGTCTGTCTTCCTCATATATGTTTCTGTTCATATCTTTTGCCCAGTGGTAGATTGGATTGTTTGCTCTTTTTTTTGTTGATTAATTTGAGTTCTCTGTAGATTCTAGGTATCAACCTTTTGTCAGATTCATAACATGCAAATATCTTTTCCCATTCTGAAGGTTGTCTTTTGCTTTACTTTTTGTAACTTTAGCTGTGCAGAAGCTTTTCAGCTTAATGAAGAGCCATGTATTTATTTTTGTTGTTGTGATTGCCGCTATAGTCTTAGTCATAGAATCTTTCCTGAGTCCAATATCATCAACAGTTTTTTCTCATACTTTCTTGTAGGATTTTATCATTTCATATCTTAGATTTAAGTTTCTGTCTATCTGGAGTCACTTTTTGTAAGTGGTGAAAGGTGTCATTCCAGTTTAAGTTTTTTTTTTTTTTTTGCAGTTTTTGGCCAGGGCTGGGTTTGACCCCACCACCTCTGGCCTATGGGGCCAGCAACCTACTCCTTTGAGCAACAGGTGCCACCCCTAGTTTCAGTGTTTTACACGTGGTTATGCAGTTCTCCCAGTACCATTTGTTGAATAGGGTTCTTTCCCCCCACTGTATGCTTTTGTTTGTTTATCAAAGATCAGATGGCAACTAGAGACTGGTTTCATCTCTTGGTTTTCTACTCTGTTCCATATGTCTATGTATCTATTTTTGTACCAATACCATGTTATTTTGGTTACTGTAGGTGTGGAACATAACCTGAAGTCTGGTAGAGTGATTCTTCTGACTTTGTTTTTTTACTAAGAAAAGCTTTGGCTATATGGAGTATTTTCTGGTTTCATACAAAACAAAATACTATTTTTTCCAGTACTTCAATGTTTGATGTTGGTATTTTAATGGGGATTTCATTGAATCTGTAGGTTACTTTGGGTAGAATAGACATTTGGACAATATTGATTCTTCCCAGCCAAGTCCTGGTATGTTCTTCTGTTTTTAATGTCATCTGAGATTTCTTTTTTAGGGTTTCATAATTCTCTTTATAAGATCCTTCTTTTCTTAGGTATGTTCCTAAGTATTTCATTTTCTTGGAAGCTACTGTGAAGGTAATTTTGTCCTTGATTTCCTTCTCAACTTGAATGTTATTGGTATACACAAAGGGTACTGATTTGTGAACATTGATTTTATACCCTGAGGCGTTACTGTATTTCTTGATCACATCCAGGAGTTTTGTGGTTGAGTCTCCAGAGTTTTCTAAGTATAAGATCATGTCAGCAGCAAAGAGTGAGGGTTTGACTGCCTCTGCCCCCATCTTGATGTCCTTTATATCCTGCTCTTGCTTGATTGCATTAGCTAGAATTTTCAGAACTATGTTGAATAGTAGTAGAAATAGTGAACATCCATGTCTTGTTCTACTTCTAAGTGGAAAACCTTTTGGTTTTACCTGATTCAGTATAATATTAGCTATGTGTTTGTGAAAGATATCTTCAATTGGCTTCAGAAATGTGCCACCTATGCCTATATTCTTAAGTGTTCTTAATATAAAAGTATGCTGGATTTTACCAAATGGTTTTTTGCAACTATTGAAAGAATCATATGGCCTTTTTGCTTCTTTTGATATGTTGAATTACATTTATGGATTTGTGTATGTTAAACCAGCCCTGCATCTGTGGGATGAAGCATGCATCCGTGGGATGTCACTTGACATATAATTTTTTATGTATAACTGCAATCTATTAGCTAACATTTTGTTGAGTACTTTTTCTTGGATATTCATTGGTAAAATTGGTCTGTAGCTCTCCTTCTTTTTTTTGTAAAGACAGAGTCTCACTTTGTCAACCTCAATAGGGTACAGTGGTAGCACAGCTCACAGCAACCTTAAACTCCTGGGCTTAGGTG